AAGGAAGCCAGGGCTAAAGATGAGACTTGATTTACCAATTTATGTGTTTCACTGCTAACTTATGGTCACATGTTTTGGGCAGTGGTGGATGCAAGCTCTTGTTAAAGCTTCCACACTACCTTCTTTCATTTAAATCTTGTAACTATGTCATGAAAGAAATCTACTTAAAGGGACATTGTGTAGTGTTTTAAGTATTTTATAAGCTAAAATCAATGCCACTGCCCCGGCACATTTGAAAGTCTGCACTGCACTTTAGTTCATAATGGAGGATCATACTTATGCCGAGCGACAGGAGAAGGAATCCTCGTCGCCAAAAAAGGGAAAAAGGGAATTAAAAAGGCAACGTGACCGGAGAATTCAAAAAACGAGGGTAAACATCAGGGTAGCTTTTCCCAGGTGGAAAGAGCTAATGAAGGAGAAAGACTTTCAAAGGGACGCTGAAGTTGCCTGCTTTCTCCTCCACAGGTAGGCTTTTTGGTACATGACGGCTACCGTAGTTGCAATACGCATTTGAAAACGCGAGGCACTAGAGAGCACTATTCGTTTGAATGCAAAATACAGTTTCACCGCTAGATGGGAGAAATTCCTACACAATGTCCCTTTAACCTCAGATATTAAACTCAGGTGTTACCAATGATACTAATTAAGGTTACGTTCCATTTAGTGTAGCAGAGCCTCTCCAGTGAGCCGACAGCAGCTCCCTGAGTCCGACTGACCTGAATGGAACAGAACCGTAATTAGTCTACTATTCCATGTCAAAATGGTCGCTGTGAAAAAGGCTCAATGTAGTCGGATAGGCACCAGAGTCCTCCCAGCTAAGAGACATTTCATGTCTTATAATTTCCAATGACATAAAGGGAAATTTTAACTGAAACTACTTTACCCTGAAAGTAGCACAAATCAGACAGTATTCTGTCTGAACAGCACTATGAACACTGCAGGGAATCGGGAGAAGGTGGAGGTTAGTATCCAGGCTTGTTATTTGGCTCTCTCACACACACAAAAAGAAAAGATAAGGAAGACAGATTCTCAGCTCCCCTCCTGCTCTGTGGCACAACTAGCTGTAAGACAGAAAATTGGAGAAACTGCACTCTGCCTCTAATGAAAGGTTTTCATTTATCGCTCATAGGAAGAAGGAGACTGAGGGCAGCTGAAACATGTATTTTTCTTTTCCTGCCATCTGTCTGTAGACTGTACAGGTAAGAACATGAGCCAAATACACTGGTGGGGAAATAACATGAGCACCTTACAATATGATACAATTCAATGTGGCTTCAAACTTAAATATTCTAGTTGAGGTAACGCCAAAAAAAGTGAATATTCTCAAACTGCAGAGCTGTTGTAGTTCATTATAAAGGGGATGTTACCCTGATGTATATATTTAGCATATATTTAGCATATATATAGGCAGGTTTGACTTGTAATTCAAATTGAATCGCAATAATGACAATATCTAATAATATTGAAGTTTCAGCTTTGCAGAAATAAAAAATGGAAATGTCCCAAGTTCAAAAGTTTATAATTTAATCTGAAATAAAAAATTAATAAATGCAGGTCTCCAACTCAAGAACTTCAGTTAAATGCAGAACACACAAGTCATGTTTACACAGGCTTGCACGAAGGTCTTCAACTTAGCCAAGAAAGAATTACTGGATTTAGACGAGAATAGATGTGTTATTAAACGGTTACAGGAGCAGACCCGAACCCCCACCTGACAGATCTTGTAATAATAAGCTTCAGGGATTTTAAGCCAAAGGCTGAGCTGAAAGTCAAGTCAAGCACAGCTTTTTCATAAACAATCTGAGCCTCAGTTTCAGTTTTGTAGCTTTGAATACAGCTAGGTGAATGAGAACAGCTCTGGGTGATTATTTACAGCAGACGAAAACCAAAGGAAATAGTCGAGTGGCTGAGAGAAAAGCTGTGGTATGAGAGTATGAGACATTTTGGTTGGCTGAAGAGAAAAGACCGATCATATTTCTCTCAGTGAGGTGGGGAAAGCCTGTGAGAGTTATGTAATGTTGTTGGGATATGGAGCCAGAAGGGGTGTAAACAATACCACTCTGAACTGGGACAGGCCGTTGCCTGGTAACAAATATTTTGGGCAGGAAGACAAGGCAAACACGGCCCGCCTTCCAAAAGGAAATAGGGGCTGGCCTCTGAGCACAGCACAAGCTAGTGGCTTCCCGAAAATACGCTAAGAGACAGGGGCAAGCAAAACAAAGCACATCAGGAGCGTTAGACAACACTGCGTCTATTTTTTACCTGGCTAGCCTGGAGTCTAGACCACCACAAGTTGTAAACAAACAAACTCTCAAGGAACTAAATAGTTTAGCATACTGCAGTCTCAGTTAAACTACATAATTAACTCCTCGCTCTAATAGTAGCCATGACTACTGCAGTGACTTAGGCATACACAGCCTATAAAGACACATCTGTCTCTCTGGGAACTGTATGATGTTGTGATACCCTCAACCAAAACTTTACAAGCTTGCAGATATAAAACTGAAACCAACTACTCTTTGATACAGTGTCACTGTTTGTTTGTTGTTATATTAACTATGTGTATTGATGATCCCCTGAAAGCAGTAAGATGCTGAGTGGATAATCCTTATGATATAAAGTCACTTTAATGGAAGTCAATTAAATGCAACAGAAGGTGGCTAAAGAAGTGTGCAGAACTACCCCAATAAAAGATCTTTACTGCCCACCTTATCCACATGATATAAGCTGCTGTGAGCAATTGCCTATTCTTTTTTTTAGTGACTCATTTAGACGCTGAGTCTGTTACATTAAACTTAAAACAGCCGCATTGTGTTGATCTGGTGATCCGCTTCTTACCAACACGCTCACAATACAATGATAAACAACCAGATGCATGAATGTGTGTACTGTGCGTGTTTCCCGTTTGCATTTTACAGCCTGCGACTGGAACACGGATACAAAGCTAACAAACAGCCTACACAAACAACGTCAACTCAACCTTCCCCTGTAACTGCCACACGGTACGGCGAGTGAAAAACAACAACAACCGGCGGTTAAAACGGTGCTAAAACAACAACAACAACAACAACAACAATAACAACAACAAAGATCGCTGCAGTGTGCACAGATTCGCCGCTGTTCCCTGCACAGAAAGAATCCGGAAGCCATATTGTGTGCTGCTGTGCTGACTGTCACCCGGAGCCGGTTACCACGGAAACCCGTTGCTAGGCGGCATAACAAAAAAGACCAAATTTATACGTCCTTGCGTCAGAGGCAACGGCGTATCCATGGCGACAGAACGCTACACACATGCAGCAGACCCGTGGATAGCACATGGCCCCGGCCGCTTGTTTTAAGCCTATATATGTTCTTTTTACGTGGTTAAGTCGACTATTTGTGGTACTTTCTACATTGTTCAGACGGAAAACAATCAGTCCTGTGCTGTCACTGCTGTGTGTTTATCAGCACACGTAGATAAAATGGCAGTGTTAGTCAGCAGACATCTCCGCGATGTCTTTACCCTCGCCAAGTCAAGTCCTGCCATTATCGTTTATTTCCCCGTGAGTGTGGGCTGCTCGCCTGCGTTATCAGCCATTCACCTCAATAATTCCCCATCATGAACAACTTACATCGAAGGAGTTAGTCATCCCGGTTCATCTGCACAGCACCGGTACCGGCAGCCCGGATGGGACACAGCGTCCTCCGTGAATCCTCGTCTCTGACGTTTTTGTAGCGCTGACTAATAACTTGTTATCCCCAACTCTTCTTTTTTTCTTTTCTCTCTTGCTCACGCCTTTTCACACATCGGCCCTTACACAGCAGCATGCCTGCCCCAGTGACATTGTCTGACATCACAGCCAAACAACGTAGGCCTTGTATTTTAGACTTTCATTCATGATTTGCCACCCCGTCTTTCCCGCATTTAGCCCGTGGAGCAACCCCCCCAAGCCAAAAGCCAGCCTCCCACCTGCCACATTCCCACTGGTGTCCTCATGTAGGCTATAATAATGAATCACTTTGTGCTCATCCGGGTGATGTTTGCAATGACAGGCGCTGATTTCCGTCACTGCTGCCCACTGTCCAGGACAGAATTACACTGCTGTTTATCAATTTATGTTGTTTTTTTAATGTCATTATTGGGCTGAATGAGATGAGATAAGATAAGATAAGATAAGATGTACCTTTATTAAATTCAACAGGCTGCTGCTTTTATGAATAAATCTAATTGGCAATGTATTGTACACAGTTGGAGGGTATTTCTCAACCTGCAGTAAATCCACAAATGGCACCGTGGCTGACTTCAGGTTTTAAGGGAGTGCTCAGACACAGATGAAAAGGAGTCTTTCCTCCCATTAGACATTAAGCTCTTGAGCTCAGAGGACTCCCGAGGGCGTGTCCTGAGAAACTTTACAGCAGGATTTCCCTTGCATGCCGGGCGGGATTCCGTCCTGTAGTGACACAGCTAGGCTACACCTCGGGTGTTGCATAAATAAGGGCCATTGTGTGGTTTCTGATGTTTCCCTAGGTTAAACTCAAGCCTTACACGGTATTTAAACTCCCCAGAGTGTGTATAGAATATAATGTCTTATCTTTATCATAACTAAAAATCATGATGTCCATATATATGTGCCGCTGATTTCATAGAAATGGACGCAACAACGCTCCAGAAATGCTTATAAATATCACAGACATTAAAGGAATATTATACAATGTCTTCTCTTGACGTAGCCATGATGAACCAAAGAAATGTTCCAATCCAGATAGACGCATAGGTAGTCCTAAATAGATACTTTCCATATTTATCACTCAAGTTTCTTAAAATTTCCTCTCAGAAATTGTCAGACGGTGAGAAATATCTCGTGCCTGTGATAGTATAAAAAAAAAACATCTATTATTATCCGTCGGCGAGGTGAGCTTCTGGTCCATTTCAGTGGCAGAGGGAATCCCTAAACGTCACCAAGGAGACCAAACACACAACACGCGGCACAAATATGGGCATGTACGTCAGCGGAACTCCGACAGAGGCGGGACTTGTACGGTAGAAATGCCTTGGTTGTAGTCGATCAGGATGGATTCATTCATAAGACCAGATCTGCTACTGTGCACCGTAATACAAGACAACGTCCTCCGGCGTACCGCGGACGGACTTTATGGATTTATAATCGCACGTTTTGACGAGCGGATAAAGGAGAGCGCTCCGAGGATTTAAAGCTGAACGAGAGGACCTCTTAACCGATTGAATTGGGACACTTTTCCCCCTAAACGCGGGGAACTGGATTAAGCTTCTTCATGCAACTTTTTTGGAAAGAAACCAGGAGCATCTCACCGGGGAATTACAAAAAGATCAGCAACGGTGAGCCAGTATTGACTTTATGTGGATGGTTTATAGTGTTTATAGAGATCAGCGCTTTAGAGTGGGTCGGAAACATCGGCTCACCGCTGCTTGTCAACTCTGCTTAATATCCCTTAAGATACATGTCTCTGTTTATAATGCTTTCTCGTGAATAACGAGTGTGTAAAACATTGTTACAGTAGTTTTTCCTTAAGTGATCAATGATTTATGCAAACTAAAGTGATCAGCCTCGCTTGCGGCGGGGTTTATCCAACTTGTATCAGCTAATATTCTTTTAAAAAGCGATAACTCCTGGTCATCTGCACTGTCTATAACATCAGTCGTTCTCTCTTTACAGTAGGCTACCTCTTCTTTAGTAATCTTCTTGTGCGTGCCGCTGCCCTGTCGCTGCAGGTGACATCGCGCTCTCTCCGGTAACTGCAGGTGTCTCGTTCTCTCTCGGTCCCTCCGGGGAAATGTACCAAGGGTTCCCCGGCGACCCAGACAACGGATCCCGTGGAAGCTCGTCTCCATCCATAGAGTCCCAATACCTTTCCTCCGTGGACTCCTTCGGGAGCCCGCCGACCACCAGCGCTCCGCAGGTGAGTTATTATAGACTACAAAAGCCTATGGGGATCATATTCTGAATTAAGATGAAGTTTAAAAAACAAAATCTGCAAATGTTACAGCTGTTTTTGTATATAAATGCAACAGGTCTGATGCATGGTCCTATATACTACACATGGGCCTATAGACCTGTGCTTACTGTATATCTATAGGTTAAATATGTGATTTTGCAAACATGTTTCCGGATAAATAAACTGCATGTTGTCAAATTAGCAATATATAGCTAGTCTATACTTTGCCTAATATAGTTCCTTTATTTTTAAATATTCAGTTTCATAGGCAATTATTACATAGATTAGCCTATATATGGCACATTTTGACACTATATGTTTTGTATGTGGTAGTTTAGCATGTGATAGCCTATGTCGTATCCAATAGGAAAAAACAGCTAATATATAGGTTATATATAGGCCTATAGGATGTGCCATCATATTAGGATAATTAGTGGGCCATCCTTTACGTCTGCGCGAAATAAGCTATAATCATATAACATAAAATAACAAAGCATTTAAACGTGTAATCTATACATTGTACAATATATATATATAAGACTCAGACTCTTATAGACTTTTTTAACGGTGCTTCTTAGCTTTTATTGTTTTATCGGAGACTGATCCGTAATGGCGGAATCCGCTGACTTTGTAGCACTTCGTTCCTGCAGTCGCACACTAAAAACAGTCTCCCAAAGTAAATCAACAACTCAACACAGATGTCCGTCCCCCCCCCTCCCTCCCTCTATCTGTAGCCCTTGCGGTAGACCCACCGGTCTTTCAGGACAGCGTGCTCCGTTTACAGCACGCCGCAGAACGGATGACAGAGTCCTGGAACTCTCTCTACGTAAGCGCGGTGGCCCCGCCCCGCCGCCCGCTTCTCTCCTTCCACGCGCTCCGCTCTCCTCTCACAGGCCTCGCCGTGACGTAAATGCTGGTTCTATTTTGGAGCGCTACGTCGCGTTGCCAAGGGGAACACCGGGGGTGTGACGGGGGAGGAGGAAGAAAGAAGGGGGGGGGAGACGCTCTACGAGAGCAGCGATTGGTCGAGGCGGCCGCTTTCAAAACCGCCTGTCCCAATGTCTTTACACGCTTTTAAATGAATATTAATGGCAGTCGATTCTGTCCTCCTCCGGTCTAAAATAAAACAACAACAAAACAAAAAAAAGACAAGCGACAGACTTGAGATTTCTGTGGGTATTTTAAACTTAAACTGATGCAAAGAAAAAGTTGGGATAGCAACAGAGATTAACAACTGTTGATTTTTTTCCCTTTGCTCTTAAACCTCTAATTGTTATGTTTCTAATGTTTTCCTGGTGTTAGATGGTAGATACATCCACACTGTTTGAAATCACATTTTATATCCAGCACTTAACTTGAGTTAAAATACCATTTCTATAGCTGTACATTACTAACTATATTGAAATGCTGTTGTTCATAGTTTATAAAAACACTTTTACATATTAATTATATAATGCCATGTATCTTTACTAGAATTTGAAATATTTAACCATTTAATACAATTCAATACGGTGAATTTTTAATAATGGATCCTCAATGACAGCACTTTAATTTAATAATTCTTATTAAATATGCGATATAAACAAGCTTGTTGCTGCCTGTATTTCTGCATCTGTTTGCCTAAAATGTGTATACTACCCTGTCGTGGCTTTACATGGTGTGTAAACCTTGTTCTTGTGCCCTTCTCAGGAGTGTGTGTCAGCGGGAGCTGGCTTGAGCATTGTGGACAGCGGGCCAGGGGCTAGTGTCATAGGGGAGATGCCCGGTTCATTTGTGCCAACCGTTACCGCCATCACCACTAGTCAGGACCTGCAGTGGATGGTACAGCCGACCCTCATCTCTTCCCAGGCCTCTGGACAGAGTGGGTCCACTGGCACCACAACCATGACCCAGCCAGTGTCACTGGTTGACCCATATGATATGCCAGGCCCCAGTTATTCCTCGGGGGCTGCATTTACTCCTCCAAGTTCAGAAACTCCGGGCCCAGCACCGGGCCCTATGCGCCAGTCCAGAACCCGTAGCCGCCGTGCAAGAGAAGAGTCTGTGAGTGAAGATGGAGATGTTAGTGTGTTAGTAAGTGTGTGTGCTTGAACGGTTTGTTTGTTGACCCTCGCATGTTACATATGCAGTGTAGGTATATTGTTTACATGGGCGTCAAAAGAACAAGATCCAACTCCTATGTACTGTGCTCTTGTGCACTGGTGTGCAAAAACACATTCAGGGTTGTGGGTAATCAACAAAAAAGGGCACCTCTCTCTACTGTAGGACCTTTCCATTTACACAGACCTACTAAAGGAAATGGGGGCAGCTCAGCACTGTGTGGGAGGAGGGCATAAACAAGATCTAAGATACCACCAACATAAAGAAAACATTACCTAGAAAGACTCAACACAACACATCTGACTGCCCATCCAGTGCCCACCACTGCTGTCTGAACAACACAATCACACTATTTCATAAACAAGGACAAAACCTTTATCCTAATCTGTTAAATTGTTTTTTCTTCTTCATCCCAGCTAACACCCGAGGAGGAGGAGAAGAGGCGTATTCGACGAGAGAGAAACAAGATGGCTGCCGCCAAGTGCAGAAACCGCAGACGAGAACTCACAGACAGACTGCAGTCGGTGAGCGTGGCCCTGTTATAGTTGCCGGAATGAGTAATGATCATAATTACATACTTTATGTTACCTCCCATAGCATTGAGGAGTGTGTTAATAAATGTGTGCATGTCAGAGAAGATTATGGTAATGGGGTATTTAGTGAACACAATTATAGCCCTCAAGACAGACTATTGTACCTACAGCATTTATAGCCCAATTAATGGACTCTCATATAAGCCAGATTACGTATCCAACTGCAGGTGAGGAAGTATTTCTGCTGGGATGGATTCATCCACCTCCACAAACACTGAAGCAGAGGTTTGATGTTGCTAACACTCTCTCTCTCTCTCTCTCTCTCTCGCTGCTCATCTTCTTTCCTCCTCTACCCATCTCACCCACCTTTGTCTTGCTCCCTTGTTTCTTTCATTCTCTGTACCTTCCTGCAGGAGACGGACATACTGGAGGAGGAGAAGGCAGAGCTGGAAGCTGAGATCTCTGAGCTGCAGAAGGAGAAGGAGCGCCTGGAGTTTGTCCTGGTGGCCCACCAGCCGAACTGTAAGATCCCATACCAGGACCAACCGCAGCAGGGCTCATCGCAGCTCCCTCCAGTCCAGTCCCAGCTCCCTCCCCAGACCTTACAACCTCCTGTCTCCATTGTGGGCTTGGCTGTGAAGGAGGACTCTTTCTATCTGCCTCCTGCCTACACAGCCCATCCAGCCTCCACACAGTCCCAGCCTCCGGTTCAGCAGCAGCAAGTCCAGCAGCCTCAGCCAGGGATAATGCAGGAGGTAGAGTTTTCTAGTTCTTTCTATGGCTCAAGCGAGCCAGCACCAGGCGGGCCATGCCTTATGGCCAGCGACAGTGGTGGTGGTGGTGGTAACCATGACGATGCGGCCATTGGCAGCTACAACACCTCATACACATCTTCATTTGTGTTCACCTACCCAGAGGGAGCCTGCGGGGTCAGTGCCAACCAGCGGAACAGCAGTAGCGAGCAGTCATCTGATTCCCTGAACTCGCCTTCGCTGCTGGCACTCTGACTGACCGACAGACACACGTGCACACATATCAACACACACACACAATATGCTCGCTGGAAGTAGAGGCTGAAGCAAGTACATGCACAGTACCTATCAGTCTCACAGTTTGAGGAAAAAAACAAAAAACAAACCAACGACCAATCATTTGTTTCGGATTGGCTTAAAGTTTACACATTCTGAAATGCATTCCAATTAAGAGCCATATAAATAGTTGCACATGAATTACATTAGATCTAACCTTTAACATAATAAATCATTTCTTGTTTTGTATTATTGGAATATCTGCAACTGGACAACGCAAGTGAATAGAAACTTGAGTCACAAAACAACAAAAAAAAAAGTCCAAGTTGCCAATCTTGATCTTGATCGAAGATATTCAACATGTACAGTACATTGAGTGAGATACCACAAGCTCACTTTACACTCCGACAAGCACCAGTGCCCCCACCTTGTTCCCTCTGGCGGTTGCCCCTTTTCCAGTGCTCTTGCTCTCATCCTTTTCCATCCTTTTCTCCCTTCTTCCTCTCGCTGAATGTATTTGTGCAAGTCTGAAATAGGGACGAAGGACGCTTTGTTCAGGGTCTTTTCTTGTGGGAGACAGACAGCTGATTTCTCACTCACCTCTAACCCTTCATCTGCTCGACTTCCCTCTGCTTCCTCATTTGCTTCTCGGACTTGACAAGTTGGGGATCTGAGTAACACAGCCTCCACTAAATCTTGTGCTTGTCTTCTCTCGTTTTAAAAACAAAAATTCTTCTGCCGTCTACCTGCCATGCGACCCATCTCTGCCCATCTCTTTTTCTCCTCTTCTGTCTCTGTGTTTCTCCCTCTGAAGTCTTCGACCCCCGAGAGCCCGAAGACCCCCGAGAGCCCCTGGGACCTTGAGTGAATGACGGCCCAACTAACACGCCCTTTTGCACCCTCTCATACAAGGACATGGATGCAACCCCCCCTCCCCTTCCCCCTCCCAAATACAGAAGAACCTTTTTCTTGGAGCTCATTGCTCAAAGAGGAGCCTTACAGTGAACAGCAGCTAAATACTTATATACACGCACATAGACGCATAATTGATGAACGCAAAATGCAAGACGGATGCCACTGTCTTCTGCTGAGCCATTTTTCAATGTTCACACAACGATTAAACACACCTTATATTGTGAGGCCGGTTAAAAGTGAGGATGGAGAGAGATTTTAAGCAGGAAGGGAGGAAGGAAGTGCAACCGAGCTTGACAGACTCAGATGGAGAGACGATGGATAAAAAGGATGACTCCCATCCTGGCCGTCAATTCTTGGAACCAAAAGTTGAAAACAAAGAAAGAGCTAAATATTAAAAACAAAGTATAAAGCAAAAAGAGCGAAAGAAAGAAAAATCCTACTCTTGCCAACTGTGTGGAAGGGTGACCTCAGTAAAAACACCTCCATACCACAGAGCCTCATCACCCTGGGCCTACATGCGCACATCCACACCATTGCTTTGAAGTCTCTGAACTGAAGATACAGACGTATTGTTGCAGCGCAGCAGCTCCGTGTTTTGCTCAGAATCAATCAGATGTGAACCGATGCCTTTATTTAGAGGAGAGACGTTTCCTTTTTTTGTAGTGATTCAGACAACCTCTAAACGTTGGGCTCAGTGGTCTCTGTACCTCCCCTGTTCTCTCAGCGGAGACAAGGCGGGGGTGCGTTTATTGTGAGTGCGTCCACTCTGAGGCACCTGGCCCGTTTATTTCTTTCTTTATTGAGGTTGACGTGGCGAGTGAGCACAAAGCAAGACCTGGAAACAAAAGGGGAGAACATGTGGGCTGATGTTGTGGAGTCAGCGTCCCTTCTTTGCCTGTGAATTTGTACAATTTGTTTTTCCTGTAAGTTTGAGTGAGAATTGTTATATATTTTAATGTCTATGTTTGTTTGTGTGTTTGATTGTTTTGCATTGACCTCTGCTTTCATTTGTACTGTTGCCGTTTCTTGGTTTTGTTTGTTTTGTTTTTTATTTTTAATGGGGAGATTTCCTTATAACTGTTACTATTATTATTGCATTGTAACAATTGTTTCATTATTTTATTGTATTTTCATTTGGCAACTTTGGAGGCATGTTGTGCACTACAAAAAAAATCTAATTATAAGTCTTTATGCATATACATATATACAGGTAACATGTATATATAAGTGTATGTACCATGATTGTAAAGTATGAATGTCTGCAGATCTAAATGGGATATTTTTGTCAATGAAGAACAAGATAAAATGTTACTGAGGTTTAGTTTTAAAATGAATATTTTTCTAAAGGAACAAAAAAAAAACTATAATAAATTTAAAGTACTGCCCTGTCCCTAAACATGAAGCACGATGTCACTGCCTCTATCAATGTGTATTTATGTTTTATAAACAATATAAAGCACTATCCAAGTTACATTCAATGTATGTTTATAATTATGATGTTAGAAGGTTGTGGTAAGGCCTTTGTTTTGTTTGTTTGTTTTTTCTCTGTGAGGTCTGTCCCAATGCTACTGACACCTTAATGCCACTTGATCCTTAGCAGACGCAAAATGAGGAAAAAAAAACTAGTGTGATTGAATGTCAATACACATATTAAAAGTGTTCAGACTACAACATAATGACTAAACTGATTCATTTAAGGACAAAGTATTTCATACGTAGTATGCCTTTATGTCCAGTATAAACATATCACTCAATAACATTGTTATTTCCTAACTGCAATGTGTGTTTGAAGGATAACCACAGTTTTAGCCTTGTTATGAACATTATCATGTTAAAGTTTACCCGTTCTTGTAGTCAAGCAAATATGTTGTCTAACTGACATAAAAAAACATCTTGCGATTGTATTTGCTGGATAAGAAGCTTTATTTTCAATAAATAAAACATGTTTATTCAAAACAATGGCTAGATTAATGATAGAATGTTTTGCTCAAACGTGGCTCTCGGTGGTCAGAAAATGGGCAGACCTCATTTTTTAAATGTTGAATAAGGACTGTGTTTGTACAGATGTTGGAGATGCCTTTTGATTTTTCTCCAAATGCAAATGTGATGAGAATATGTTCTGGTGTGAGATTAAGCATAAAACATATTCACGAGTTCTCATGTATATAGGTTTTTGTGGTGCTACTTCTAGTGTACTATAATGACGTGGCAGTTTCACATTGTATGGTGGAAGGTTTTACATTGCTGTTGCTGAGGCTCCAGACAAATGAACACACGTTTAGAGTGGCAGCCAATAACAGTGAATTCCCAGCAGCTGAAGCTCTGAGAGCCCAGTAATCACTCTATGATTACATCATGATTTAATATCAATTGCCTGATACATCTTTAAGTGTGATAAACAGATCTCAGAGGGTCCTCGTACTGTACCTGCACTCCACACGTACGCCCCTGATCACCACACAACATAACAGACTCATTCTTTCATCTAATTTCTTCGCCTTGGATTTAATTGGAGCTGTCTGAATTAACTTTAAATATTTTGTTTTTGCAATCATAAATGGTTTGCTAATGAATTGGAATAGGTGACACGGAAGGAAAAAGGAGAACTATTTAGCTACCAGCTATGAGACAGACAAGCTGTCTGCACCCACCTATACTGTACAGTGGCTACGTTATCGTGAACTGAACAAGAGCTTTCCTATTTTTCTATGAGATGAATGTTGCTATGTATTTCTATTTTTCCACAAGTCTCATATACACTCTGATATCATATTTTCCCTGGTATGAAATGCAATACTTATTATCCTCTTGGATACACATAATGTAGCAAATCACACAGTGCTCAAACTGACTGCTACTATATGTCAAGTGTGATGATGTATTGCTTTAATCATCATTTTTTTTCTTACAATATTAAAAGTTATCCTAAATAATTATCATAACATTTAATTTTGAGACAATCTTCATGAAGAAATTGTGAAACAATATCTAAAAAAATCTCTTTTTCATTTGTTGAAGGTTCCTCCACTTCAATAAGTCATTGCTTATTTTCTAATCCATGATGTTTATCAATGTTTTATCACTTTTTGTAACATGTTACTCTGTATTTATTTTTTCTGGGAGCAAAGGTTGCAATTTTGTCACATTTAAAAACAGATGATTTGATACATTTTGAGGTTACAGCAGTGAAAGGCCCAAAGAAACTTTGTGCTAGATGTGACAATGTCAGACAGATGTCACTTAGAGCACATGGATAATTACATAACTAACTCATGAAGGTGCTCTGATATCAAATTATCTGTTTATTTCTGTGATTATAATTTAAGATAACTAGTTTTCTGCACATTGATAGAATGTATTGTTTACTCATTTTTATAACTTTTATTTGCTTTGACTCATGAAGAGGACCAAAGTGTACGACAAATTTGCCACTTTTGCAACCCCATGTCTGTGTCCATATTTCAGCTTCTGGCCCCTTTCGTTATCCTTTCAAGGTTTACATGATAAAAAAGCTTTTTTCTCGGTTTCTAGACTGCAAAAGCTGGGTGAGCTGTCTCCTTTAATGATGGTTTGACCAAATGCCATTCATTTCCAATTTGTGAAGAAATTACATAAATAAACAACATATTATAACTTTAACTTTTAAATGTTTGACCTTCATTGATTAAATTTTTCTTGTATGTGTCTTGAGTGTTGGGCTAGTTACTCAAAAAAAATGATTTATGACTTGTTACTTGTCAGAAGTAGTATTTCTACTTTACTTATTACTCCCTGTCATCAGTAATTAGTTAACTACTAGTTATATTACTTTTCTGTTTGGTAATTGTGTCTGCCCAAAATTCTGACTTATGACGATTACAATCCAGTATTGTTTGTTAAAATCAACTGTAGTATTATTTCTGATTACTGAAATATATTAGTAACATTAATAGAAACTGGGGAAAGTAGTCTTTTACTTTAATATTATTACTAGTAATGACTTACAGCTCAACCCTGCATGTATTTTCTTTTATAAAGTCAGTTACCATCTTTGTTACACGAATTGAGACTGTGACAATGAGCATGGAAGTGAAAATGCCCATCACAATTCTCATTTCATTGTTCAATTCAAAATAATGTTATATTATTAGCAGCACCCTTATAATAACACATAATTTATATTATAAAATGACTATAATCAATATTTTCTATTTTAACAAATGCTTTTATCACTGCTTGTATTTCACATGGATGAAATTACAGATATTTATGGCTTCACTCTATCCTTCCCCTTGGCCCTACAGAGTTTTTATAGCCTCATTGTGTTGGTTTTACAGGCCCACTACTGGTCTGAGTCACTCAAACTGCTCCCATAATGTCGTTTTCGGCCTAAGCAGATGTTTCCAGCTAACTATCATACTGACATACTGGAGCATTTAGCGGCTAACCAACCAGATATTTCCCTGAGGGGTTGGTGGGGTTAAAAGGAGAGTGAATAGTGGACTTACATTCCCCAGGTGGTCAGAAACCTCCCTCCAGATGAATGAATGTGTCTCTGTATCTGCCGGATGTGTAAACAGACGACTGTTAAATGATAAATATCAGGTTTAAAATGTGTAACTGTCGTATTTTAATGAACTACAGACACTGAAAACCACCTATACAAGTGCTACTGACCGTCTGCTGTAGTGTGTGTGTGAGTTTGCAGTCTCTGTTGCTCTCTAGCGTCCACAGCTCAGCTCAAATTCAACGAGACTTTTTTTTTTTTTTTTTTTTTTTTTAACGCTTCTTGGCGGAAGTTGCGTCACAGGACCAGCGCGAGCTGTCCGGATGTCGTTGACGTCACCACACATTTGTTGTAAACATGGCGTCCGTGACAACAGGTGAGAGCACAAAGGCCCGGTTAGCCGGCGTTAGCGCTGAGCAACAGTTGAAATATTTCTGTATTTCGGTGTATGTTAGACGTTCGGCACTGCACACCGGGTTAGAACCAGGTTAGAACCGGGTTAGAACCGGGTTAGAACCGGGTTTGTTCCGAGTGGATGTCGCTGAGGGCCGCTAACACAATGCTAATGCTGGATGCTAATATGAGCCGCTCTGGGATTTATGTGATTCCACTTTCACTGATTCAAACACACGTAAAAGGAAGAACTGTGAACTGAGTGGTTGCTTGTTTTAATGTTTGAGTTGTCTACATCGACCAGGTGCTAACTTGAGCTAACATGAGCTAACCGGCTCTGAATCTACACCAGATTATAAATTCAGTTTCACACCTAATTTAGTATATTTCCCCTTTAATCTAGCTTTATTATCTTACAATACCTTTTTATTTTAACACGTATGTAATTTGTGGTTCTGCCTTGTTCAGGCGCCAAAGTGCTAAATGAGATTGTAGACACAGTGTGAGTTTGGTCTCAGTGTGTCTGTGAGTTCATCACTATCAGTCGCTGCTTGTTAAACAGAGCCATTGTTGTAGCAGCTGTTGTGCACCCATCACTCTGTATCTATAACTCCAACCACTACACGTCTCATAATTGGTGTTATAAATAACCTCCAGCTGGCCCTGGTCAGCATGTGTTGGACCTCTGCATGCTGCTGTCTCCTCAGGTTTACGTCTCCCACTGGGGGTTTCTTTGCCATGCCTCGCTCTTACTGTAGTCTACAGTCACATACAGCCACAACAGTATATGTTTGATTTACAGCCACAAGGGTATATGTTTGATTTACAGCCACAACAGTATATGTTTGATTTACAGCCACAACAGTATATGTTTGATTTACAGTCACAACAGTATATGTTTGATTTACAGCCACAACAGTATATGTTTGATTTACAGTCACAACAGTATATGTTTGATTTACAGTCACAACAGTATATGTTTGATTTACAGTCACAACAGTATATGTTTGATTTACAGCCACAACAGTATATGTTTGATTTACAGTCACAACAGTATATGTTTGATTTACTTTGAACCGGCCAAATGACTGCTAAAGTAATCCATTCATTAATTAGACTGCCATCAGAAAATGATTAAACAGTTCTGATCATTGCTCAGTGTCAGGACTAAAACTGAAAAGTATAAACTGGTCGTAGCTTCTTACCTGTGTGGATTTTCCGTTTATATATATATATATATATATATATATATATATATATATATAAATTAAATACTTTTGGTGTTAGGACTGTGGGTCAGACTAAACAAGTACATTGAAGATGTAACTGGGTTTTGGGGATTGCTATGGGCATGTTTAGACACTGTATTCACTCAGCAAGGAAAGATCCATCTAATAAATTGAGAGGTTTTGTAATTAATTAAATTAATTGTAAACGTGTTTGTTTCTGTATGTTTGCTAACAGTCTCTTTATTTTTATTTATTAAGCCACCTCAGAGTGGATTCAGTTTTTTAAGGATGCTGGGATCCCAGCCGGCCTCGCAGTCACTTACGCGGTCTCCTTCGTGGACAACAGGTAATCTATTGCCTCTTTTAAATAAGCTTTGTATTGCAAACGTTAGCCACACTGTATTTTGTTGTGATCACATGAATTTTCCTTTGCACCCTCACATCAGACTGTAGCTGAAACTCAGTTTATTGTCCTGCTAAGGAGCAGAGGACAGTCTCTTTCATTAACCAAGCAGTGTCATTGTAATCAACTCACTGGTTCAACTAATTGGTTTCAGTCGATCATAAAGATACAATATGTGATGATAAACAACATAATCATGACCTACAAGTGAAAACATGACACCAGAAACATGGTGGATGAGTTTGGATTATTATCCCTCCTCTGAGATGCAGAAACTAAATCCAGTAGGCAGCGTAGTGTTGTCTATGAAGCCACAAATCAAAGTGCATTCATCCATAATGGCCAAAATAACTATGGATGAACAGTTTAAGGAAAATAACACAACCAATGTTAAAGCTGCTATTTAAATATGTTATTTTCTGTAAATTTAACTGTGTTCTCTTTTACTATGGTGATACTAAAGAGAAAATGTTTGTTTATTGTTTATTGTAGTTCATCTACAATTCTGACTGACTTTTTACCAACAAATAAAATGTGTAAACATACATTAAGTCCTGTATCCATCAGTCAAACTCCAGACAACCACACAGAGACCATTTAACAAGGCGTGTCTCAGTCTGCTTCCAAGTAAGCTCTGGTTTAGTTAACCATGTTTTATGTGTTGTTTTTTGATAATGTGAGATTGTATAAATTCAAAAGCTAAATCAGCTTGTTTGATTCATTTGGTAATTATAGCAGCTATCACAGCTGTCAATTTACCTGTCCATGTGTTGTTTTTCTTTGATCCAGACCAAAGGAACATGAGTACATACAATATTTTAATTTTCATGTCAATGCAGAATTCACAAGAACATGCTGATGGACCTGAGTAAAGACATCATGATGGACCTCGGCATTACAGTCATTGGCGACATCATTGCCATTCTTAAACATGCCAAGCAGGTCTATAGGCAGGTGAGATCAGAGTTTCATGTTTTGATTAAATTTAAATGTTGAAAACGGATGTTGCGTTGTCATTGGTGCAGGCATTAGCAACCAAAATACTGCTGCAATGTCTCCACTGTGAATTCAGTCATGGGGAATGGATGTCTTTGAAAGTCACTGCTGTCTGGTCAGTGAATCACAGTAGACTGAGTTTATATAACCTCTGTATTATGCACTCCCTCTTCAGGACATGTGCAAAATGGCCACAGACGCCATCTCCTCAGGACAGACCAGTGTTAAAGCTGAGCTCAGAAGAACTGCTAATACTCGTAAGTATCTACATTTTACTTTCCTACGTTGACCATCATTAAAACAGATTTTCATTAGAGGGATTTCATTTCAAATTGAAGTTCAGGGTCATAACAGAGTGATCAGTGGTAAATTATGCATTTTCTTTCATTTAAACTTTATAAGTTCTGTTGCTTGTTTCTGAACCAACAATAAAGCAAAGGCTATCTTTTATTGCTGCTTTATTGTTAGAAAGACTCATGAGAGATTTTCTGTCCTGATTTTATTTTGAAGGATAGCATAAAAGGGGCTAGAGCTGTACAAAGGCTGTATTTGTCACAGTTATGTCAGGTAATAGGGCATAATAAAGGGTAATTGTCTCCATTAGGAGATAAAAATAAATCAGCTTAGTCTAATGTTAACAGAACAAACTGCATCTCTTAGTTTGTTGGCCTCAGTGCCAGGTTATACAAGACCTTCTTCAGTCCTTCACGGCGTGTTCCTGTTACACGCTTTTAATTTTGGCGTGTCTAGAAAGGCCTCACACATTTCAGAAGACAACTGTGAAGCCCAGCTGTCCTCTGATCTCGTCTTGGGGACAGAACATGAAGAGTTCCTGAAACAAGCTAAATCACAACTACTTTTCTCTCTTTTTTTTTTCTTCTTCTCAGCTGCCACTCGTATGATTGCCAACGCTTTGAGCAATGACTCTCCGCCAGCCACTCCAGCCCGTCGACCTGACAACCGCCTGTCCGTCACAGTGTCCAATGTGCAAGCAAATAAGAGTGGCAAAGCAGGTAGATATCATGGAAAATTCCTCTTACCCCATCAATCCTGCATTTCCTGTCCCCCTGGAGCCATGAGTCATATATTTTTCTTACCTCTGTTTAATGCTCGTGTACCCACCACTTTGTTT